CCAAATTTTAAGAAACGGCTGGCATAGTTATACTAGTATCAAGTCAAACAAACTTTAAAGCCAAAAATAATAAAAAAAGATAGAGAATAACTATACAATGATATATTTACCATGACCATAAAACCTGTATACACTAATAACAACCTCAAAATACATACGCAAAGGAAAATTTACAAATCTGTCTTCACAGAAAATTTAACACCTCTCAAAGTAATGAACAGCTCAAGCAGACCAAAAAATAAACGAAAGGATTACCAAATTGAAAAACAGTCAAAAGATAAGAATAAGCATTTAATAGAGGGGCCACAAATGGTCCCAAAACACATACAATTACACTCAATTATTCTTACTAGCTAAGGAAATATAAAGCAGAACCATAAGGAGTATCTTTCACCAAAATAAGTCAAGTGTTAGGGAGAATGTGGTATACCTGGAACTCATGTACTACCAGTAACAGCACAAACCAACGGAATTACTTTGGAACAGTGTGGTGTTATCTAGGAAAATGGAACAGACATGCCATAACCTAGCACTTGCACTTGTAGATCAATACCTTAAGAGAAAACCATGAAAATGTGTTACAATATTTAAAGCAGCACTGTTAATAACACGTTAGGAGTAAAACTGATCAAGCGTGATAGTTTATACCATAAAATACTACTTAGCCTCAAAAATGTACTGCTATGGCTGGGCACAGTGGCTCACGTGAGCCTGTAATCCCAGCACTTTGGGAGGCTGAGACAGGTAGATCACGAGGTCAAGAGATCGAGATCATCCTGGCCAACATGGTGAAACTCCATCTCCACTAAAAATACAAAAATTAGCTAGGTGTGGTGGCACGCACGCACCTGTAGTCCCAGCTACTCAGGAGGCTGAGACAGGAGAATTGCTTGAACCCGGGGGACAGAGGTTGCAGTGAGCCAAGATCACGTCACTGCACTGTGGCATGGGAAAAAAAGCGAAGCCCCCTTCAAAAAAAAAAAAAAAAAAGTACTGCTAAAAGTCAGAAAAGAATTACTAATGGTATGGTTCCATTTACTTAAAGTTTAAAAACAAAATATATTGCTTAAAATAAAACTGTAAGGAAAAATAAAAGATGACAAACATATAATCGAAGACAGCAATTTACTATGGGAAGGAAGCAGTGAAGTACAATCTGCAGTATATTTAAAAAAAAAAAAAATGCTTTAGTGTCTTCTCAAAAAAAAATTAGGACATAGAGGAGGTTTCAAAAGTAATGGCAACTTTTATTCCTTAAGCAAGGTGACTATTTTATAAAGATTCTTTAAAATATTCACCTATGGCTCCCTCACTCCTTCCCTCCCATAAAAAAATATTCACCTAGGCCGGGCGCGGTGGCTCACGCCTGTAATCCCAGCACTTTGGGAGGCCGAGGCGGGTGGATCACGAGGTCAAGAGATCGAGACCATCCTGGTCAACATGGTGAAACCCCGTCTCTACTAAAAACTACAAAAAATTAGCTGGGCATGGAGGCGCGTGCCTATAATCCCAGCTACTCAGGAGGCTGAGGCAGGAGAATTGCCTGAACCCAGGAGGCGGAGGTTGCGGTGAGCCGAGATCGCGCCATTGCACTCCAGCCTGGGTAACAAGAGTGAAACTCCGTCTAAAAAAAAAAAAAAAAAAAAAATTCACCTATGATTTTCATTTTTATATTTTAGCTTTTTTTGAGACAGGGTCTCACTCTGTCGCCCAGGCTGGAGTACAGTGGCACAATCTTGGCTTAATGAAACCTCCGCTTCCTGGGCTCAGGTGATCCTCTCACCTCAGCCTCCCAAGTATCTGGGAACACAGGTACACACCACCACACCCTGCTAATTTTTGTAGAGATGGAGTTTCGCCATGTTGCTCGGGCTGGTCTTAAACTTCTGGGCTCAAGTGATCCTCCCACCTGAGCCTCCCAAAGTGCTGAAATTATTGTAGGTGTGAGCCACCATGCCCAGCCACCTATGATTTTTTAATTCTTTTGTAAGCATGTTTCATTACCTTTTTTTTTTTTTTTTTTTTTTTTAGGACACTCTTAAATTGATGGTGAAGGGAAATAAATCAACCGGGTGGTAACAGAACTGAGGCAGAGTCAGTTGTTTGCTAGGAGAAACTTCTGCATCTGTAAATACTGAAGGGAAGGATAAAGGTGAGAGGAAGGTGGTGATAAATGACATGTAAAATATCTGAGAAAAAAAGAGATTATCTAGATGCTGAGTACAGAATTAGAGACTTTACAAGAGAATGTGTTTTCAATGGTTGTTACGTCTATACAGGAAAATATACACATTTTTAAAAATTAAAATCACCCCTTGATCTCACCATCTAGTGATTTCCTTGGGGCAGTGATTTTTCTTTCCATTAATCTGTATTTTCTAATATCCAACAATGAATATGTATAAAATATTTCTTAAATAAAAATATGATCATGCTGACAACAGTGTGGCAGAAGTACTGGAGAAGTTAAGACTGAAGACAGGGAAGACAGACTGAAAGCTACTAGAAAAAAATTAGAGTTGAGACATTTCTAGTGAACAGCTAGAGGAATAAAAGTTCATTAGGATGCAGAATGAACTAGATTTGGTGATAACTGATGTGAAAAGTGCGGAAGAAAGAGAAGAAATGAGGGTGACCCATGAGTATTAGTATGGATAGATGGCAGTGTTCTTAACTATCAAAGAAATACAGAAGAACCTAGCTAGGCATGGTGGCTTCTTGGCCTGTGATCCCAAGTACCCGAGAGGCTGAGGCAGGAGTTGAAGACCAGCCTGGGCAACATAATAAGAGCTGGTTTCCTTAGAAAAAAAAAAAAAAAAAGTTGGGGGGAAGAAAGGGGCAAGGAGGAAGGGGAAGATAAAAAGGAAGGGGGAAGGAAAGATGGACAGGGAGAAAGAAGGGAGAGGTGGGGAGAGGAAAGACGAGCAATACAGGTAGCTGGTGGTTACAAAGGGTTGGAGGCAACTGAGATTAAGATTAGTTTCGGACCTGACCAGTTCAAGTTTCCTGTGAACTTTCAGACTGATAGAACAAAACAATGGAACCAGCCAGAGCTGAACGACGACTGTTCCCTTTAAATGGAGCTGCCCTCTTTAGGGTGGGCATGCTATCTACCATGAATCCAATGTGTGTTACATATACCTTAAAACTGCTTGGCTCCAAGAAGCAAAGGGTTTACAACCCTAGAATCAAATTTTAGTTTCTCAAGCTAGCTCCGAAGTTATGTGTCTAGTATTACGAAAATGAACACTCCAAATGAAATATTTGTTTTCTGAAAACCCTGATTCAGAATGAAATAAAATACAGTTCTGTATCTTTCTCTCACTGATCTCTGTATTTCATGCCATAGATGGAAAGCAGTAAGCAGCGCTAAGTCTGACAGAGTTAATGTTTCATTTAAGCCAACCATTTTCATTTTACTTTGGAAGAATAAATTTTTTTTCTTGTAAAAATACAAGTCAAATTTTTTACCTTCCAGATTTGGGCAGGCTAGGCTACCTTCAAAGATCTCAATATATATAAATTAAGAAGTTACATAAATATCATAAAGCATGTTATGTGGTAAAAAATGTAGGTTACAGTCAGGTCTGGCACACAGAAAGTATTAAATATGATGAATAAAATAACTGGTAATACTACCTTCAAAAGGGTGGAAGTTTGGTTTGACCAACAAATCGAACTACAAATCTCATAAAAGAACTATGTAAACTACGTGTTAGCATACCAGGGTATGTCATGTATTTCAGCAAAATGCAAACTTAAGACTGTAAATTAGGTGCTGTAAGGGATATTCTATTGTCTGAAGGTTTATGTTCCTGTAAAATTCATATGCTGAAATCTAATTCCCAATGTACTGGAATTAAGAAGTGGAGCCTTTGGGAAGTGACTAGGTCATGGGGGTGCAAAATTGGTGAATGCGATTAGTGCCTATAAAACAGAGAGCTAATCTGCCTTGCTGCCGCGTGAGGATACAGGTAGAAGATGCCATCCTGGACTACACAATCTGCTGGCACCCTGGATCTTGGACTTCCCAGCCTCCAGAATAGTGGGGATTAAATTTCTGTTGTTCATAATTACTCAGTCTAAGGTATTGAAGCATAGCAGCCTGACAAGAAAGACAGATAAAATAGTCGGTGGTTAGAGATTACTTATTTATTTGTTTACTTGGCAAAGTCTTAGTTGCCCAGGATGGAATACAGTGGCACAATCATACCTCACAGCAATGCTCCCGCCTCAGCCTCCTGAGTAGCTGGGCTACAGGTGTGTGCCATGCCCAGCTAGTTTATTTTTTATGGAGACAGAGTCTTGCTATATTGCCCAGGTTTGGTCTTTAACTCCTGGCCTCAAGCCATCCTCCTGCCTTGGCCTTGAAAAGTGCTGGGATTACAGGTGTGAACTATTGCTCCTGGCCCAGCAAGATATATTTAATTGGAAACTCAATCTCTGATTTGTAGAAGTGTTTAACATATGCAACTTTGGATAAGGAACAATGTGTACCTTAGTATCTTCATAATTAAATACCTTAGATTACTACTGAAAGTATATAACAAGATGGGCTGGCAGATATAACTATATTCCCCAAGTAGTTGGGACTACAGGCGTGCATCACCACAGCTGGCTAATTTTCGTGTTTTTAGTAGAGACAAGGTCTTGCCATGTTGGCCAGGCTGGTCTCAAACTCCTGACCTCAAGTGGTCTGCCTGCCACAGACTCCCAAAATGCTGAGATTACAGGCATGAGTGACTGTGCCCAGCCACATTTACACATTTCTAAGCACTATTTACACAGAAGATTTCCATCAGCAAGAATAAAATCTTTTATTTATTTATTTTTTTTTCAGATAGGGTCTCACTCTATTACCCAGGCTGGAGTGCAGCAGTATGATCTCAACTCACTGCAGCCTCTGCCTCCCAGGTTCAAGCCATTCTTGTGCCTCAGCCTCCCAAGTAGCTGGGAATACTGGCACCTGCCACCATTCCTGGCTAATTTTTGTATTTTTAGTAGAGAGGGGGTTTTGCCATGTTGGCCAGGCTGGTCTCAAACTCCTGGCCTCAAGTGATCGACCCACCTCGGCCTTCCAAAGTGCTGGGATTACAGACATGAGCCAGGGTGCCCAGCCTAAAATCTTAAAATGAATTACTAACTTTACGGTTCCAGGGTAGTTACTTCGTCAAGGTCCAAAAATACACTTAATGACAAGACAGTTTGGACAACTTTTTTTTTTTTTTTTTTTTGAGACGGAGTTTCGCTCTTGTTACCCAGGCTGGAGTGCAATGGCGCGATCTCGGCTCACCACAACCTCTGCCTCCTGGGTTCAGGCAATTCTCCTGCCTCAGCCTCCTGAGTAGCTGGGACTACAGGCACGCGCCACCATGCCCAGCTAATTTTTTGTAGTTTTAGTAGAGACGGGGTTTCACCATGTTGACCAGGATGGTCTCGATCTCTTGACCTCGTGATCCACCCGCTTCGGCCTCCCAAAGTGCTGGGATTACAGGCTTGAGCCACCGCGCCCGGTCTGGACAACTTTTTAATTCAAGGAAGAGAGTGATTTGTTTCCTTCTTTAGCATGCTCAGGTATACTATTATACTGTGATTTTAAGGATTTTATCAATACTTTCTCCTGACATAGTAGGTGGAAACTTGTATAATGCCAGTGAGTCGTTAACAAGTAAGAAAAAAAGATCACATTTAATTCTTATAGGAAGATTTTCTAAGCTGAAAAATACAGCAAAAATGTTTAAACCCTGGCACTTAAGGTAGATAGCAAACTAAAGGATCTCATACACAGAGAACTGTAGAAAATATTTAAAATATGAACTTTTTCACTAGAATAGTTTTTATGTGCTCTAAAATATAATAATGTATTATAAAAGACTGCAAGTATGTTAGACTAATATTTTGATAAAGAGCAAGTTCAATCTTCTAAGCCTTCTTAAAAACAACTTCTCCTTCAAAGTTTACACAAATTTGGGCCTCAGTTGCCAAAACTGGCCATAGAATGATTCTGAGATTCTCAGAATACTTTTAAGCGGCTGGGCACAGAGGTTCATGTCTATAATCTCAGCACTTTGGGAGGCTAAGGCAGGCAGATCACCTAAGGTCAGGAGTTCGAGACCGGCGTGACCAACATGGCAAAACTCCATCTCTACTAAAAATACAAAAAAATTAGGCTGGGCGTGGTATCTCATACCTATAATCCCAGCACTTTAGGAAGCTGAGATGATGGGCGGATCACCTGAGGTCAGGAGTTTAAGACCAACCTGGCCAACATAGTGAAACCCCATCGTTACTAAAACTATAAAAATTAGCTGGCTGTGGTGATGCATGCCTACAGTCCCAGCTACTTGGGAGGCTGAGGCAGGAGAATCGCTTGAACCTGGGAGGCAGGGCCTGCAGTGAGCAGAGATCCCACCATCGCACTCCAGCCTGGGTGACAAAGCAAGACTCCGTCTCAAATACATATTAGCCAGGAGTGGTGGTGCATATAAGCCTATAATCCCAGTTTATTTGGGAGGCTGAAGCAGGAAAATCGCTTGAACCTGGCAGGCAGTGGTTGCAGTGAGCCAAGATTGTATCATTGCACACTCCAGCCTAGGCAACAGAGTGAGACTCTTTCAAAAAAAAAAAAAAAAAAAAAAAAATTCTCCTCAATAAGCAAAATTTGATAAAAGTATGTTCTTTCTTTGATAACTTAGCCAAACAAACCAAAAAAAAACTTGCCTGTTTAAAAAAAAAAAAAACCATAAAATATATGTACAACAAGTTTCATTCTTAGAAGAATTTAAGAAATATGGAAAGTACAAATGCTGATTTATAAAATCAATTGTGGTATTCTATGTTGCCAATTCAAGAAATTATCAGTTTAACTTATCATTTTCAATTATTAAAACTAGAGCAGCTGAATTTGTAAAAATGCAGTATATTAACTGTTGCCGGTTCATGAAGACTTAATTTAAAAATGTAATATATCTTTAAAAGAAAAATCTGACATTGGTCATAAACAGATACAAAAAAAAAAAAAAAAGAGCAGCTAGCATCTTTTAACACTATTTTCACTATTTAGGATCATGGGTAATCCTTTCCAAGCCATCACCATTAGCTTTCTTAACTCTCTGTTACTTGTATCATTTTCATCACAAACTTCTGAAAACAGGCTTACAAGGACTGAACCAACCTTCTCTGTCATTGGAAGGGCGGTTTTTTTTTTGGTGGTTGTTTTCTTTTTGGTGAGAGTCTTCTAAACTGAGCAATTTCTTCAAGTACAGTTGACCCTCAACAACACAGGTGAGAACTGCACAGGTCCACTTATACATGATCTTCTTCTTCTGCCTTTATCACTCCTGAGACAGTAAGACCAAACCCTCCTCTTCCTCCTTCTCAGCCTACTCAATGTGAAGATAACAAGTATAAAGATTTTTGTGATTAGCTGGGAATGGTGGCTCACTCCTGTAATCCCAGCACTTTGGGAGGCTGAGGAGGGTGGGGAGGAGGGAATCACATGAAGCCCAGAGATCCAGACCAGCCTGGCCAACATGGCAAAACCTCTTATCTACTAAAAATACAAAAATTAGCTGGGCATGGTGGCAGCGCCTATAATCCCAGCTACTCAGGAGGCTGAAGCAGAACAATCACTTTAACCCAGGAGGCAGAGACTGTGGTAAGCTGAGATCGAGCCACTGCACTTCAGCCTGGGTGACACAGCACTTAATGAATAGTAAATATATTTTCTCTCATGATTTTCTTTTTTTTTTTTTTTTTGAGACGGAGTGTCGTTCTTGTTACCCAGGCTGGAGTGCAATGGCGCGATCTCGGCTCACCACAACCTCCGCCTCCTGGGTTCAAGCAATTCTCCTGCCTCAGCCTCCTGAGTAGCTGGGATTACAGGCACACACCACCATGCCCAGCTAATTTTTTGTAGCTTTAGTAGAGACGGGGTTTCACCATGTTGACCAGGATGGTCTCGATCTCTTGACCTTGTGATCCACCCGCCTCGGCCTCCCAAAGTGCTGGGATTACAGGCTTGAGCCACCGCGCCCGGCTATGATTTTCTTAATAACATTTTTTCTCCAGTTTATTGAATGGATACAGCATATAATACATACATCACACAAACTATGTGTTAACTGACTATTTATCTTATAGGTTAGGTCTCCAGTTAACAGTAAGTTATTAGTACTAAACTTTTTGAGAAATAGTTATATACGGATTTTTGACTACACAGGTGGTTGGTGTCCTGTTGTTCAAGAATTAGCTGCAAATCAGAAGAATCTGAAGTAAAGCTCTGTCATCATGCAAAAGCTGTAACTATGCTTCAGAAACCCAATCTGTATTTCACAGACATTAACAGATGTTCTGTCCTCTGCAACATCTACAAGAACCAAACACAAACTCCCTATGCCAAAATATTCCCATCTCCTCTAAGCATAAACAGATCTACTCCCAGACAAGCCTTAAAAATAAAACATTTAGAAAGGGAATACAACTTCAAAAATGAGGAAAAGTATCCAGAGACACAACATATTTGAGTTTGGAAAGACGACAATCACATAATCTCATTATCAATGAAGCAAGACCTAAAATTACTTGCTGTCAATAAGGGTTACATATAGTAAGCATAAGAAAAAACCTATCACCATGAGAGTGAGGGGGTGTGGAAGAAAAGATACTCTCTCATTGAAGCATTATCTGCAAAGTCAAAGAATTACCAACCAAATATTAACTGAGCTGAAAGAGATGTCTATCATTAACAGGAAGCTTACCCTGATTTTAAAATGCTGTATAAATTTTCCTATTCAACCAATTCTTTACTTTCTCTAACTGGGCCAAGGCATAAGCAAAAGATACACAGCAATGGAATCAGAGATAAGGCAAGAAGGCAATATATCCAACTATGTTTTCCTGTGTTTTCTAACCTCTTTTGAAAACAGTACTATCTACCCGAATCTTTGTTCTATTTATTAACTCAGGAAACATTTGAGTGATTATTTCCAGTAAGCACTGCCCTCCTTGAGTTAAAAATGTAATAAAGACAGTGTCCTTATAATAGCTAAAAGGCAGAAGTGAAAAACCCTATGAAAGAGGTAAAACATGATATGGAGGCACACTAGGTATTAAAAAGTATGTATAGCTGTGAGGATGAGGCTAAGGTTGGTGGATTTATGATGTCAAATTACTGAGTTATAAAGAACTAAAGTGGATTTTGAGTAAAATTTGAATTCAGGAAGAAAGTTCAGAAAGTGGAGGGGCTAACTAAATTACCTGCTAGGTAAGTTTTAAAAACAAACAAACAAACAAAAAACTTAGGAACAATAAAAAAACAGATGGGGAGCTATCAAAACTGCCCAGAATTCAAAATGGAAATTCAGGCTACACATGGTGGCTCATGCCTGTAATCCAAGCACCTTAGGAGGCCAAGGCAGGAGGATCGATTGAGGCAGAATTTGAGACCAACCTGGGCAATGCTATAAAAAATTTATTTATTTATTTATTTATTTGAGATGGAGTCTTGCTCTGTGATCCAGGCTGGAGTGCAGTGGTGCAATCTTGGCTCACTGCAACCTCCACCTCCCAGGTTCAAGCAACTGTCCTGCCTCAGCCTCCCAAGTAGCTGAGACCACAGGCATACACCACCACGCCCCGCTAATTTTGTATTCTTAGTAGAGACAGGGTCTCTCCATGTTGATCAGGATGGTCTTGAACGCCTGACCTCATAATCCACCCACCTCGGCCTCCCAAAGTACTTGGGATTACAGGTGTGAACGACCGTGCCCAGCCTACAAAAAATTTTAGAAATTAGCCCAGCATGGTGGCATTTACCTATAGTCCTAGCTACTTGGAAGACTGAGGCAGAAGGATCCCTTGAGCCTAGAAGTTCAAGGTTATAGTAAGGTACAGTTCTACCACTGCACTCCATCCTCGGAAACAGAGGGGGAGGGCCTATTTCTAAAAAAATAATAAAAATAAAATGGGCGGGGTGCGGTGGCTCAAGCCTGTAATCCCAGCACTTTGGGAGGCTGAGGCGGGTGGATCATGAGGTCAAGAGATCGAGACCATCCTGGTCAACATGGTGAAACCCCGTCTCTACTAAAAATACAAAAAATTAACTGGGCATGGTGGCACGTGCCTGTAATCCCAGCTACTCAGGAGGCTGAGGCAGGAGAATTGCCTGAACCCAGGAGGCGGAGGTTGCGGTAAGCCGAGATCGCGCCATTGCACTCCAGCCTGGGTAACAAGAGCGAAACTCCGTCTCAAAAAAAAAAAAAAAAAAAAAAAAAAAAAGGAAATTCAACATAAAAAGTCACTAATAATAGTTGCTAAATATTCCTAGCAAATAAAGGATGATGACAGAATCTCCACATATGCAGTAATATCCATTTCAACCTAAGAACAAGAGAGATACAGGCTCAGGGGCCTGAGTCATAAACAATTTGATTCTCAAGAATTTTAGTGGACTAGTAAGTTCTGCATAGGTCGTACATACAATGAGAGATGCAAGGATTAGCAATAATAATGACCCCAATGAAAGGTGAAAGACTAAAAACAAGAATAACATTCCGGCCGGGCGGAGTGGCTCACGCCTGTAATCCCAGCACTTTGGGAGGCAGAGGCGGGCGGATCACCTGAGGTCGGGAGTTCAAGACCAGCCTGACCAACATGGAGAAGCTCTGTCTCTATTAAAAAAAAAAAAAATTAACTAATTAATTAATTAATTTAAAAAAAAGAATAACATTCCAAGTACCTAGAAAGGACTATTCTTTTTTAAATATAGGGCCCTGATATGGTTTGATACAGGCCCCTAAGACTATTTTTGTTACTATTTTTTGTAGAGATGGGGTCCTGCTTATCACTAGGCTGGTCTCAACTCCTGACCCCAAGCAATCCTCCCACCTTGGCCTCCCAAACTGCTGGGATCCCAGGCCTGGCCAGCCTAGATTATGTTTTAAATGAGATTTTTATGCATATTCAACTCCAAAGGTTCATGATGTAATAAAATATTTTTAAAATTTGTTTAGGTGGACTCGGTTGGCATAAATGATACTCAGCTCATAACTGAGCCTATGGAACTGCCCCATGGCCGCATATTAATGTACTTAGTTCACTAAAACTGCTCCACAAAGAATTCTCATGACAGATATT